CAACTTATAAAATCTTCAAAACTCAACCAAATCACTCAATATTTTTTTAGAATGAAGCTAGAACTGTTAGCTGTCAAATGACATAGCAATGACTTAGATGCGAATGACTCTAGCACTTCCAGAAATGAACTAGTGCCATCTGTTGCAAACATGCGTCATGACTTTTCCAACAACCCAATACATGCCTACCTATATTTTTTCTTTCTATTCTTCATGTGTCTTAATCTCTCCCTTCTTCTTTCATATTTTTTTCTTTATTCTCTATGCTATTTTTTAGAAATTTAAGGCAGAACTATCTTCCAGTTCCCCAGTTTTTCTCATAAACTATGTGTAATCTGCTATTTAAACCACACTGAATGTTTAAATTCAATGTTTATATTGTTTTCTACAACTCCTATGTTTACTTTTCAAATCTGCCTATATTTGAAAGTATAATATCTGGTTAATTGCTTAGTTTTTATTTCTTTTTACTTCTTTAAGCATTTAAACTTTTAACTTCGTGAGTTTTGTAATTTGTGAGGTGTGAGGTCATGTTTGGCCTGACTTTATCTGCTTGACTTTTGGACTTCTGAGAGCTTGGATTAAACTTATGCCCTTTAGGTATAATGATCTGCCAGACACTGGGGCTTTGCCAACGGGGGCCATTGCCTGTAGATTTCTCAGCTTGGCACTCCCCACACCACCCAGGTGGTTTAAATTAAATGCCTAAACCTATCCAAATTATGCCTGTGTTTACAAATTCTCAAGGAAGACTTTTTCCTCACTTATAGCTCAAGTTAAGACGGTTGTATCGATTTTTGCCTCAATTATCATTTTATAGAGGCCTAGCCCTTCAAAGATCACTGTTTTGTGAAGGGGTGGGAAGGCAGGCCTCAGTTTTAATTCTCCACTTGGAGTGGTCCCAAGGCCTTCTTTTTTTTGTCTGTCCTGTCCTTAAAACACAAATCTCTAGATAACCCAGATCAGCAAATACGTACTCAGAAGGCTACTTTAACTCACCAATTTATAAGCACACAGAACAATAACCAACAGATAGAAAGCATTATAGATAATAACACAATAAATAAATAGAAAATGTCACATAAGAAATGGTTGATGAGATCAGGAGTGTTTAACTTGGAGAAATTGCGACATTTTGTTAGGGTTGGGGATGAGCAGACAGATCATTTCATAGCTCTTTCTACCCAGCTTCAAATATTTGAAAGGTGAAGTAGTTGAAATAGATTTGCTGTATGTAACCTAAATGAGCAGGATTAAGATTGATCCATCAATATATACAGCAGCCATTGTCGTCTGGCAGTGTAAAATATAAAAAAACTGAAATACCATCATTGGATTTATTTATTTTTTTACAAACTTTGATAATCACATATGTAAAATTTTACCCATGTTTCAAAAATTTAACGTTAAATTATAAACCTTTAACAACAATATTAAAAGTTTTAAAAACATGATTGGCTCCACAATATTTCATTATGTGGAAGTGGCATGATTTATTTAACCATTCCCTTATTGTAGAGTTAATTTTTGCTCTTAAGAAACTATTGTGAAAGACATCCATACAATCCTTTTAAAGAAATCTCTGATAAATTCTTTTGATAATTTCTAGAAGTGCCAAAAGGCCATGAATAAGTTTTAAAGGAATTTGATATTTGTTTCCAACTTGTTTTCAGGAAAGGTTAAACCAATTTACACTTTCACCAGTATTACATAATCATGTTTGTCTTATTTCTCTAATTTCTTTTCTGGATGTATTTAGTACAATTTTTAAAACAGGAATTCATGTTTGCAAAATATAATACTTAAACTATAGGTGTTGCTCATAAAATATACACTAGATTTGTATTTAACATAGATACTTAGAAAGTTACCAAATTGATTGCTTCCTTTTGTTTCTTTTGCCTAGAGAAGACTGTTCATAGTTCGTTGCATATGGGATCTGCTTGAAAGCTGTGTGGTCTTAGATGCCAACTGCTACTTCCTTTGCAACAATAGACATAGAATCTAAAAGTAAGTCCATTTTAGATTTCTTCTTGTATGACATTCTATCTTCCTACAATACATGAAGTCCTTGATATCTAAGAAATGGTGCTTATTAAAAGTCAGAGATTATATTCTTTAGAATAGAAATTTTTTATTTTTAAAATTGTGAAGGTTTTGGCGTTGCAATTTAAATTTTAGTCAATGAAAACATTATATGGTTATGGGTGGTAGAAAACACTGAAACTGCATTTGCTAATGTATTTCAATAAGTAAATCAGTGACCTAGAATATTTGTTGGTATTCCACACTGAGAAATACTGTGCTAACTTTCTTGGGGCAGAGCTGTGATATGTGACCGAAATATCTTATTAAATCAAAAGTGACTACTCTACTGGCATGAATCAACCTCATTCATTTATAACTTGAAGTAAATTTAAACCAACTCCTTATGTTGCACAGAGTATCTTCATTTAAATGGCCCTTTTTAGAGATAATGAAAGCCTTCTTCCTCTGTAAATGCATCAGGAGTCAGTCTATAAATAGGGGAGTTGTTTTTTTTTAAAGATTTTTATTGGGGAATTGGGGGGAAGGGAACAGTGCTGGGGAATTGGGGGAAGGGGAACAGACAATTTGCTGTCGTTTTGTTCTTCAGTCTAGTTGTGGAGGACGTTGCTTCATTGGCCCAAGTTGGCACCATCATTGNTTTTATTGTTACTATGAAATCTATATTTAAAATAATCTTTTCTAAATATATTTTATATATATATATATATATATATATATATATATATATATATATATATATATATATAATCTTATATATATAATCTTACATCCAGTTACTATTTTTTTATTAAATCAAATACTTTTCTGTAGATAATTTTTACATATACAAATACATTATTTTCAAATAATGACTATTTGGTTGATTGCGACTTTATTTCTTTTATACTTGTTTAACTGTACTGCTATGGCTTTCTTTATGATAGTCAATATATTGATGGTAGTGGGCATTGTTGTCTGAATCTTGATTTTAATGGGAATTGCCCTGACATTTCACCATCAGGTGTGGTAATTTTTGTAAGTCTATGATAGATTCCATTTATCAGTAAAGAAGTTTTCTTCTATTCTTAATTTGCTATGAATTGTTGTGATTGTAAATGCTGAATTTTATTAATGCTTTGTCTCCATTTGAGATGATCTGATAATTTTTTCTTTAATATATTAATGTGGTGATCTCTATTAATAGACTTTCAAATGCGAAAGTGTTCTTGCATTCTTGCCTGAGATTAATCCAATTTGATCATGTGTTATTTTAAAATGCACTATGAATTCAGTTTCCTGATACTTCTACAATTTTTGCTTCTATGACTCATGAAAGGCCAGATTTCTTTTCTTGCTGTCCTTCACTGGTTTTCATATTACATTTTTCTTATTTTCTCTTTTCTGTATATCTTGATTTTTATGTTCCCTTCTTTTCTCCATTCTGAATTTCTTTTTGATTACTGTAGTTTTTAAAAAAAATAAACAATAACCCCCCCCCAAAAAAAAATAAAAACAACAAAAAACACTTCTGGTTTTTTATTCTCCACTGCCTTAGAAATTATAAATTTTATTTCTCTTAGTTTTTTCTTTGCAAATTATTAAAAAAAATTATATATAGCTTTGCTTAACTCTTACTATGTAATTATTCACTATTTTTATTATCTTTTCTTGATTGCTGAGTTAGATACTGATATTATTGTTTTATAGTCTTTTAAAAAAGACCTACCTTTTCATTTTTATCAATCTTTTGATCATTATTCCTTCTTTTATCTGAAACTATTTTTCTAGGACCATTTTCTTTTTTCTGAAATGTAGTTTGTGATTTCCTTGGTTGAGGGTTTATTGGAGGAGAATGAACCTATTTTTGGTTGTTGTTCTGAAATGTTTTATTTTATTTACATTTTTTAATAATAGCTTACTATGTATGTAATTACAGAATAAAATTAGTCTGTATCGGTACTTTGAAAAATTTCTGGTTTACACTGTTGAGGTTGAGAAGTCTGCATTGAGTTTAATTGTTATTTCTTTGTAAGTAATCTTTTTCCTCTGACTACTTTTAAGATCATCTCTGTCTTTGCTTTTATTTATTTTTACCATGATATATTATGAAAGAATTTTTCTGCACTCTCATTATGAGAATTTGTCTTTCATCAATTATAAAAATGTATCAACTAAGGCCGTCCCAATGGCGTGTTGGTTAAGTGCTGGCTTGAGACGCCAGCTGTGAGCAGCAGGGCCCCAGTTCGGATCTCACATGAGGGCCAGTGACACTGCCCTCTACAGCTACGATGGTGAACAACAGCTTGACCTGGAGCTGGGCTGCAGTGAGTCCCAGGTGATGGTGTAGGCTGCAGCCACTGCTGCAGTGGGCTGCCATGAGCTACCGTGTGTGGATGGCAGCCGGTGTGAGCCACCCAGAGTCACCGTGAGTGCCATCCAGAGGCCAGCGACCGATCTGCCTCACCTAGGAAGAGTGCAATGATAATACCAATATGGGCCAGTGAAGGAATGTCCTCCACAACTAGACTGAAGAACAAAAGGACAGCAACTTGTCTGTTCCCTTTCCCCGATTCCCCAGCGCTGTTCCCCTCCCTCAACTCCCCAATAAAATAAAAAAAAAAAGTATCAACTAATCTTTTCAAATGTTGCCATTTTCTATTTCTTAAACACATACATATATACACACACATACATATATAATGTATATATAAATGTACATATACACATTTATATATACGCACACATGCACATATACATATATATGTATTGGGCTGTCGAAAAAGTCATGATGTATTTTGTCGATGTTTTTCAAAGGTCATTTATTTATATAAAGAACAAAGACCAATCAATGATATATTGCCCGTTTTGTTCAATAACCTTTTGTCATCTTTCAGTGAGCTTCATAATTCCTCATTCATAGAAGGACCTGCCTTTATTTGCAAAAAACTGAACAAGGTGCTGATTTACAGCCTCATCTGAATTGAACATTATACTACTCAAGGAGTTTTGAAGAAAGCGAAACAAGTGGAAGTCTGATGACACAAGGTCAGGTGAGTATGGTGGGTGTGGCACCACATCCTATCTAAGCTCCAATAATATTTGACGGGTGATCAAATTTGAGTGTGGTCTTGTGTTGTCACAATGGAACACAACTCCTTTACAATTAACAAGCTCTGGACGTTTCTAGATGATGGATTCATTCAAACTGTCCAATTGCCAACAGTACACATTCGAATTGGTTGTTTGGTTACTTGGTAGGAGCTCAAAAACACGACACCTTTAAAATCCCACCACACTGAGAGCATAACCTTCCTCTGATGAATGTCTGCTTTCGATGTCATTTGA